TTCCGGGTGGCGTCCAAAGGCCACGGGGACCTTCTGGAGGTAAATCTACAGAATGGCATTTTGTTTGTGAATTCTCGGATCGATCGGGAGGAGCTGTGCGGGCGGAGCGCGGAGTGTAGCATCCACCTGGAGGTGATCGTGGACAGGCCGCTGCAGGTTTTCCATGTGGAGGTGGAGGTGAAGGACATTAACGACAACGCGCCAGTGTTTCGTTTAAAGGAACAAAGGGTGCTGATTTACGAATCAAGACTGCCAGATTCTCTGTTTCCACTAGAGGGCGCGTCAGATGAGGATGTTGGCTCGAATTCCCACTTAACCTATAAACTCAGCTCCAGCGAATATTTCGCCTTAGATGTGAAAACCAACAGTGATGACAATACACAAATTGGGCTCGTGTTAAGGAAATCCTTGGACAGAGAGGAAGCTCCCGAACATAACTTACTGCTGACAGCCACTGACGAAGGCAAACCTGAGCTCACTGGCTCTGTTCAGCTGCTGGTCACTGTGCTGGACGTGAATGACAATGCTCCCACTTTCGAACAGACTGAATATGAAGTAAGGATCTTCGAAAATTCTGGCAACGGAACAACAGTCATCAGACTGAATGCTTCTGATCGGGATGAAGGAGTGAATGGGGAAATTTCATACTCTTTCAATAGTCTTGTTCCAACCACAGTTAGAGACCAGTTTAGGATAGATCCAAATACTGGAGAAATAGTAACTAAAGGGAATTTAGATTTTGAAAAATTAAATTTATACAAAATTCGTGTTGACGCGACGGACAAAGGCCACCCACCCATGGCCGGACATTGCACTGTTTTATTGAAGGTTTTGGATAAAAATGATAACGTCCCTCAGATTGCATTGACTTCCTTATCCTTGCCTATCCGAGAGGACGCTCAATCAGGTACTGTTATTGCCCTAATTAGCGTGTCAGATCTCGACATCGGTGCCAACGGGCAAGTGACCTGCTCACTAACGCCCCATGTCCCCTTCAAGCTGGTGTCCACCTTCAAGAACTACTATTC